GCTTAAGCACTTGCCTAGGTCAAGGCTCTCAGTTCAATCTCTAGTAACATCAAAATAATATATGAAAAGACAAGAAAAGAAAACATAAAGAGCTTATAATAAGTGTATGGTTCTATCATTGAAATACTGAAACTTTTCCCAATGAGTAATGCACAAACAGAATTGAAGTTAGTTTGTTTTTGTTTTTTTCTGCAGTACCAGGGCTTGAACTCAGGGCGTACACCTTGACCCTGGACTTGTTTGCTCAGGCTGGCTTTGATCAGAAGGATCGAAGTTCAAAGCCAGCCCAGGCAAACAGTTCTCGAGACCCTATTTCAAAAAAACTCATCACAAAAAAGGGCTGGAGGAGTGGCTCAAGGTGTAAGCCCTGAGTTCAAACCCTAGTACCACAAACAAACAAACAAACAAACAAAAAAACCTGAATTGGTCTGGGGGTGTAGATCAGTGGGAGAAAATGTGCTTAGCATATCTGAGGCCCTAGATTCAAACCCCCATACTACCAAAAAATAAAAACTGAATTATGTACACAAAAACACAACTTTTTATTTATTTGTTTTTCAGCAGTACTAGAATTTGAACACAGGGCCTCATGATTGCTAGGCAGGCACTCTATCACTTGAGCCACTCCCCCCAGCCAAAAAAAAACCCACCTCAGCCAGATGCCAGTGGCTCACGCCTGCAATCCTAGCTACCCAGGAGGCAGAAATCAGGAGGATCCCAATTCAAAGCCAGCCAAAGCAAACAGTTTGTGAGACCCTATCTTTTTTTTTTTTTTTTTTCATTTTTCTTTTATTATTCATATGTGCATACAAGGCTTGGTTTATTTCTCCCCCCTGCCCCCACCCCCTCCCTTACCACCCACTCCACCCCCTCCCGCTCCCCCCCTCAATACCCTGTGAGACCCTATCTTGAAAAAAATCCATCACAAAAAGGCCTGGTGGAGTGGCTAGAACCTGAGTTCAAATCTCAGTACCACAAAAAAAAAAAAAAAAAAAAAGCCTCATCTTTCAGTGTTGAGAAATGTTTGTTTTGACCAAATGATTTAGTTAACACATTCCAGTTAGTAAGATGGTGAGGAAACAAACAAACAAACAAACAAACCCTCTTATTTATTTCATATCTTGTAACTCCCTCAGAATCTCAAGTTTGGGGTTTTTATGTTTTGTTTTGGTTTTAATATGACATCAAGACATGGCGGCACATGCCTGTAATCCCCACACATGGGAGATAGGGGCAGGAGAGTCATGAGTTTGAGGCCAGCCTGCGCTACATAGGGAGACCCTATCTTCAAAACAAAAGAGCAAGGAAGGAAGGAAGAGAGGGAGGGAGGAAGGAAGGAGGGGACTAATATCATAATCATCCTGCCCCTACTCTGGATAACTATTCAACTTTTTTAGATTACCCATATGTACGAGATCATGAGGTTATTTATTTTTCTGTGCCTGGCTTATTTCCCTTAACACAACATCCTCCAGGTTCATTCACATTGCCACAAATGACAGAATTTCCTTCTTTTTTAACACACACTTTTTTTTGGTGGGGGGGGCAGTACTGGGGTTTTGAACTCAAGGCCTCATGCTTGGTAGGCAGGCACTCTAGCACTGAGCCATGCCTCCAGCCCAACATATGCCACTTTTGAAAGTGCTTTAACCAGTCTACAGTCACCTGAAAGACTTCTGGTTTCACATGGGACAGAGGCAAAAAGGGCTCTGCAACAAGCTGTACTATAAGCACCTCAAGCCCTCAGTCCACATAATGCAGTCACCCAGTCCTATTCCATGCTCTTAGCATCCCCTGGCAAGTGCCAATAGGGGACCCACAGCACAAATTCTAATAGAAAACTATTCTTTTGAGAAACAATAGCCATGGTTGTTAGCCCTGGAACATGGTAGAGACTGAACAACTGTGGGATATCAAGTGACCAAATGGCCTGAGTGTCCTAAGATAAACTGGGTATTGTCTGACCTGCCATGCCATACATTTGGGTGCATGTAGCCATCTCTTATCAAATGGAAAGAGCATATGGGACACTTGAACTCAAGCCAAGTATGGTGGGACACACCTGTAATCCCAGAATCCAGAAAGCAGAACCAGGAGGATTGGAAGTGCTAGGCCAGCCTCGACTACATATTGAGACTCTCTTAAAAAAATTAAAAAAAAAAAAAAAAAAGACACTGAGTTCTTGTAATTCCAGTGAGTACAAGTGAGTTTCACAGGCTTGTAGCAAAGAACATTTCAACAAGGACTTTAATCTCACTGTCCCTCTTCCTCCACCCCTGCCTGTGCTTCCTTCCACCCAGTAGACTAAGGCAAACCTACTTTACAGATGAGCCTGCATGCCACGCTAGTACCACCCAAAAGCAAAGAGCTGAAGCTGTTACTCCCACTGAACCATGACTCTAAATTGCTGTGCTAATGGAAAACTGTCCCAGCAGAGAATTGCAAGCAATTTTTGTGGCTGTTCACTTGGCCAGAAACATGCACATGTACTGATTCATTAGTAGTTACAGTGGTTTCGCTGGGTAGCCAAGGATGTGGAAAAACAAGATTGATGACAAAAGCATCTGTAAAAAGGTATTATAGGCTGGGCGTGGTGGGGCACACCCATAATCCCAGCATCTGGGAGGCAGAGGCAACCCTGTCACCAAAACAAAAAGGTATCATGGATGGCCTCGTTTTAAAGGATACAGGTTGTCAAGATATTTATGAATTATGTGAATATCCATTAAAGATGATCTTAGGGCTGGCGGCATAGTTCAGTTGGTAAAGCACCTGCCTAGCAAACGTGAAGCTGAGTTCAAACCCTGGTACTAGATAGATAAGTAAACAATTAAATAAATAAATAAGGTTGATTTTAGAACTAAGATCATTGGGAATGAATATTATAACTGGGTACGGTGGCTCACATCTGTAATCCTAGCTACTTGGGAGGCTGAGACTGGGAGAATTGAGGTTCAAGGCCAGCCCAGGCAAATAGTTCATGAGACCCCATCACCAAAACAACCAGAGCAAAATGGACTGGAGATGTGGCTCAAGTGATACAGCACCTGCTGTCTAAGTGTGAAGTCATGAGTTCAAACCCCAGTCCCACAAAATAAACCCCAAAAACATTATATCTATGTCTGAAAATAGCAAAATGAAACTCACTAAAAACTGTAGGGAAAAAAAGTCGGGGGGAAGAAGAGGAAAGATAAAGAGTAATAGAGTGAGTGAATTTATTTGATTGTTTTGTTTTGGTTTTTGGTCTTTTTGGCAGCACTGGAGTTTGAACTCAGGGCCTCACGCTTGCTAAGCAGATGCTTTTAATGCTTGAGCTGCTTCTTCAGCCTGAGAGGGTGAATTTGATCCAAGTACATTATATACACATACGGAAAGATCACAATGAAACCCCTCTGTACAATTAATATATGCTAAAAAAAAAAACAAAAACAAAACCATAAGAATATTGGGCTGAGGTGTAACTCAGGGGTAGAGTGCTCACCTAGTATGTGCAAGGCCCTGGGTTCCATCCCCAGCATGGGAAGGGGTTTTTTGAGATGTTTTGTGGTACAGCTTGGGATTCCGCCTTCTACTCAAATTGTCCTTCATTTCCCTGAAGGAAAATCCAGTCACCCATCCTGTGGACTCCTCATAGGCACTGCCACTCCAGAGGTAAATGCCCAGAAATTTCTCCTGCCAACCTGAACTGCCACAAAGATTGGGGCTAGGCGGGTTGGCAATACCCATGTCACCTTCCAGATTTGCCAAGTAGGGACTGGTAGCTAGCAGAACACAGTGAGACCACTGAAGAGAGGGCTGCCAATGAATGTGGTCAGGACCTGCACATGGTACTGATGCCAGGCCACGGGAGAAAGGATGTCAGAAACTGATGGCAGCATTGGCTAAGTTCTACTGTAACAGCTCAGGAAGCACACATGTATGATAGGGAAGGAAGTGCTCTGCCCGTCAGGAATACTGAAACAGCTCTACAGCGGAACAACAGCAAATGTGGATCAACAGACTGGGCACACTGTGATTCACTACTGGAAAACTGCAGCAAACAGAAGGAATAAGCCAGAGGCATGGAAAGCAGAGGTTTGGAAAGAAGCCAAACACTGAAGACTGCAAAGCCCGCCCCAAGCCAGGAACTCAAGCCTCATGAGGGATGCTGTGCGTTTGTGGTCAACTGGGGCTGGGGTCTAGGAGTATAGTTCAGTGGTATCGCACTTGCCTAGCACGTGTGAGACCCTGAGTTCCATCCTCAGCCATGAAAAAAAAAAAGAAAGGGAAGGGGGGGAGGGAAGGGAGGGGGAAGGGAAGGAGGAAGGGGGAAGGCGGAAGGCGGAAGGGGGAAGGGTAAGGGAACCATTAATAATCTTCTCATGGGCAAAATGATACCCTCTATAGATCCCAGTGGAGACTTGCTCAATGAGTCCCTGAAGAAAACTGTCACAATGTCAGGGAATAAAGGCTATTTACAGTTCAGTACTACTACCTTCCCTTTCCATGCCTGACACAACTAGCAAGGTGGCTGTGGGCCTGAGCTGCTAAAAGAAGCCAATAGTGTCCATTATGACACCATCCCTGCAGGGGCCAGCCAGGCTCTTCCCTAGGTGCCTAGATTAATACTGAACCTCTGTCAGCATGGAGGTGACGAAGACTTATCCCCAGTGGCATACACTCATGTTCCGGATATGGATTTGTATTTGCATTAGCAATACCTCTGCAGGCACCACCATCTGTGCATTCACACAATACTTAATCTGTCATCATGGCCTCATACAGCTATTTCTTTTTCTCATTTCTTTCTTTTTTTTGCAGGGATCTTTTTTTTTTAGGCTAGGGATCGAGCCTAGTGTGTGCTAAGCAAGTGCTCAACCACTGAGCTTGTTTTTTGAGACACGTTCATAGCGAAAATTCACTGGGGCTAGAGGCACAGCTCAGTGGCAAAGCACTTACCTGCATGAGCAAGGCTATGGGTTCAATCCCTAGCACTGTAAGGGGAAAAAAACCTCACTCACAGGGCCAAGTGGGAGACAAACCTCAGAATGATTCTGTCTCATAGGACACAGCACAGTTGTCCCTCAGTGTCCCCGAGTGATTAGCTCCAGGACCCCTGCAAATACCAAAATCCACAGATGCTTAAATCTCTTATATAAAGCATATCACTACACGTATCCTGATACTATAATCATTTCTAAATTATTTATAATACTTAATACAATATAAATATCCATAAATGGTTGTTATACTATATTGTTATGGAAACAAGAAGAAAAACAGTCTGTGTGAGTTCAGTACAGATGTAACCCACTGCAGGCCTACCTACACAGCACATGTTAGAAACAACATAACTTTATCTGTCATCATGGCCTCATATAGCTATTTCTTTTTCTCTTTTCTTTTTTTTTTTGCAGGGCTAGGGATCAAAACCAGGGCTTTGTGCATGCTAGGCAAGTGCTCAACCACTAAGCTTGTTTTTTTGAAATATGTTCTCATCATGCAACTCAAGCTGGCCTTGAACTCACTATATAGCCCAGACTGGCCTTGATGTCAAGATCCTCCCGCTCCCAAGTACTGAAATTATAGCATACCTGGCAAACAGCATTATTTCTAAGGAACACTTCCCACTTCACTGGGAAGAACTGTAACAACAGAAGCCTGCCGTGCAACACCCAGAGTTCAGACTCCAGTACCGTCCCCTCTCATCCCTCCTCCAAAAAAAAGAGAGAAAGCTGGGTGCCTGTGGCTCACATCTGTGATCCTAGCTATTCAGGAGGCAAAGATCAGGGGGATTGTGGTTCGAAGCCAGACCAGGCAAATAGTTCATGAGACCCTATCTCGAAAATACCCATCACAAAAAAGGGCTGGTGGAGTGGTTCACATGGTAGAGTACCTGTCTAGCAAGCATGAGACCCTGAGTTCAAACCCCAGTACTGCCAAAATAAAAGAGAGTGAAGAGATTTTATTGTAGTGGTTTATCTCAAGTACCAAAGAAAAGCCAAAGGTATGCAACTAGGGCAAAGAGGAAAGAAATTTAGAGGCTCACATACATCCACACAGAAAAGGTTATCAGAAATTTATAACTGAAAAAGATGCAGGTGATTGGAAAATTTAGAATATTTAGGAAGTTTTGGGGTCCTCTGCCAGGTACTAAGCCCAGAACAGACAACATTCTGACTGAAGAAAGGGAAATAGGGAAATACTTAAGGAAGTAACTGTGGATATCAAATACAACCTTGAGACCAATTGCTTCTTTACATGTGGTCATGTAAACTAAATAGTCACCTCTATCTCCTTTGCATTTTTATTCAATACATATGTATTAGCGTTTAAATTTATAATGTAGTCATTTTTTTAAAAGAAGGTCTCACTGTGCAGCCCAGGCAGGCCTAGAACTCACGATCCTCCTGCCTCAGTCTCCAGAGTGCTAGGACTACAGATGTGCATCATCACACTCAGCTTACAATTTAGTAATAATAATTCACTGAAAATGTGACTAAATTTGAAGAGTAATTAATGTGGCTTGTGATGTTGACACCGTGCCTGTTGGAATCATGCATCTTCTCACTTTGGGGAAGGGTTAGAATTTCTTGTATGTCCTTAGCTAGAAACAGAGACTTATTTGATTACTATGTGGAAGGTAAAATGTATGTTGAAGGGTGCATATGAAGACTGAATAGCCAAATAGTAGGCTATGCCAATAGGCTATCTTAGCTTCAAATTCCCCTTCGACACTTGTATGGAGTATAATGCTGTTTTCATTTGTTTTTGCTTTTATTTTTTGGCGGGGAGGGTGAGACTGGGATTTGAACTCAGGGCCACACACCTGACAAGCAGATGGTCTACAACTTGAGCCACTCTCCCAGACCTTTTGGCTTTAGTTATTTTTCAGGCAGAACAACCATTTTTTGCCCAGGCCAGCCTGAACTGTGATCCTCCTACTTATGCCTCCCAAGTAACTAGGATGACAGATGTGCACCATGTCCAGTTTTTTAGTTGAGATGGGGTTAACTTTTCTGCCTGGGCTAGCCTCAAACTGCAATACTCCTGGTCTCCAACTCCTAGATTACAGCTACTGTGCCTAGCAACACTGGTTTCTTTAAACATTAATCTTTTGACCCGAACATGAAAATTTTGGTAGTAGGGCTGGAGGTATATTTGCCTAGCATGTACAGCATCTAGCAAAAAATAAAATAAAAATATTTGCCAGTACAGAGGGCATGAGAGGGACTTTGAAGAAGGATGGAAACTTCGGCTGGATCATGCTGATGCATGATGGATATCCCTGTGGGAGTTGAGGCCATTTTGTGTGCTCTGCCCGTGCCATGTGCCCAAAACAATCTCATATTCCCATCTGTCACCACCTAATGCACACAACACACAAAGGGCTTCTTAGCAGAAGTATATTGGCACCTGGACAGTTTCGGGTCTCTCATGACCTAGTTATAGTGCACTTCTCAGGATGCCAGCAGCATTTGAGCCAAATCACTGCACCCACCCACCAGGGACCTGGACTTTTGTTCCCCATGTTCTCCAGGGCAGGTACCATGCATTTCACACCTCATGTCTAAGATTACTGCCCCAATTCTCTCTCATACAACCCATGCCAGGGAGCATCACACATGCCTGATTGGTGGCTGTAGACCAGCTCAGGCTCTGAGTGAAGCAGGGCATTTCCCTACTTTCTAGTGGGTTACATTGCAGCCAATATACCCTAATAGGACCTCAATGATCTCTACTTTCTCGTATTCACACCCTTGGTCAATCCACTCTTCTTGAGGGTACACAAGTCTTGTAACTAGTTTCTAGCCAAGAGAATGTGGCAGATACAAAGGATTTTTCAGATATAATTAGTGTTCTGAGATCATCGACAGAGAGATTATCCTGGTGGATAATTCAGACGCAAACCTTTTAAAGAGTGTTTATAGGGCTGGAGGTGTGGCTCAAGTGGTAGAGTGCCTGCCTAGCAAGTGTGAAGTCCTGAGTTCAAACCCCTGTTCCATCACAACAACAAACAAACTCCTAGATGTGCTAGTGTCTATAAGGACTCACCTAGGACTAGTTTACTCCTGGGACTGGAACATTCCTTAGGAAAACAGAGCCTTAGCTGGGACAGGCAGAACCACAAAGTGGACTGAAAAGTACTGGAATAGGCTTTGACTATTTATGAATACAAACATTACCTAAGATTGATAATTAATAAGTGAATTTTTCTGAAGAACTTACTTTTTAATATTCAGTGACAGATTCTCATTAATTCCTTGAGTTTTCTATTCATAAAAATAAAACATTCATACTATCTCCTATTTTCCCTTCATTTACATCATTTGATCAGCTATCACATATCTTGCTATCAGTTACACACTGAAGATTAGACTCATCCTTCACTTTTTTGCCCAAGGAAAATTACTGTCAAACCTAAGCAGGGCACAGTGGTGCATGCCTGTACTCCCAGAACTCAGGAGGCCAAGGCAGGAGGACTGCAACTTTTAAGGCCAGTATGGGCTACACAGGAATTCTAGGCAACCTGGGATACATGCCAAGACCCTGTCTCAAAAAAATCAAAAAACCTAGGATTAACTCTTACTGCATTCCTTTCTCACTATAGAAATGAAATTAGTGAATTCATACAATGCTTTCCTCACTCCCTATGCTGTTCTCTGTCAATATGGCTAACTCCTATGTCCTGTCTTTTAGTCTCGTCTTAAATAGAACTCATTTTTCTTACCTTCATCTACTCCCATATACCAACAGAGTACATAATACTTTACTTTCAAAACCCTAATAAATTTGTAATAATACATTTATTGACGTAAGTTAAATACTTGCCTTCTTCACTAGTTTATAAGTTCCTTGAGAACAGCCCTGGCTGAAGTTTTTCACTAACCCACCCCCTCTTTTTGTATGGTGTCGGGAATGAAACCCAGAGCTTCACACATGCTAGACAAGTACTCCACCACACGACTATCCTTAATCAGTCATTCAGCGTTCATCAGTTTATAGCAATGTATGAATATGTGATTCTTCTAAAAGGCAATAGAAGCCAGGTGCTGGTGGTTCACTCCTGTGATCCTAGCAAGTGAGGAGGATGAGATCGGGAGGATCAAGGTTAGAGGCTAGCTGGGGGAAGTAGTAATCCAGATCCCATCTCCAAATTAACCAGAGCAAAATGGACTGGAGGTGTGACTCAAGCAGTAGAGTACCTGCTTTGCAAGTGTGAAGCCCTGCAAAGTCCCACCAAAAGAAAAAAAAATTGCAATATGAGAATCTTGAAAGAGCTTAGATCCAAAAACACCCAAAAGCTTATTTAGGAACGATGTGAAAATTTTGATTTCACACGATGTAGACTGTTAGATTACAGTATTGTTTACAATTTTCTTGGTGGAAATATTAGAATTGTGGTTTTATTGGGGCATCTTTAGAAGCTGCATTATCAACTATATAAAAGTTAACTATCATGCCCACAATTTTCAACTTACTCCCAAATAGTTCCCTATAAAATGTATTTTATTGCCAGGCACTGGTGGCTCACGCCTGTAACCATAGCTACTTCGAAAGGTGAGATCTGAAGGATCAAGGGGCAAATAGTTCGAGACCCCATTTCCAAAATAACCAGAGCAAAATGAACTGGATGTGTGGCTCAAGCGGTAGAGCACCTGCTTTGGGAGTGGGATCTCCTGAGTTCAAACCCCAGTCCCACCAAAAAGAAAAAAAAAAAGATTTTTTCCGTGGAAAAAGCAAAATATTAATTCAATCAGTATTAGCCTAACTAGCCTCCATTCTCTCTTCTGGAGGGCCATTGATAAGGTCTGTGGAGAGGTAGAGGCAGGCCTACAAGCTTAGCACTGGGGCTGGGTTGGAGCTCAGGGACAGAGGGGATGCTTGCGACCCTGAGTTCCATCCCCAGCACCAAACAAACAAAACCAAACAATAGTTTAATATCTTTACCTTTCTTCAGCCGAAATCTCCTTTCAAGGTCTACCTACCTTTATATTTACCTACAGACATACGCACCCCACGGACGCCTAAGGAAGTTATCTTTATCTTCCCACCCGAATGCAATGTGTCCCAAATAAATAAATGATGCCCAAAGAAAGCGGAATTTGTGGATGAAGAAGGAAGAGGCTTTCCTGACCCACCTTCACCCAGCGCGGCTGAAAGTGCCAGAATCTCCTGGTTGCTGGGTTGCTGATGCTGGAGGATGCAGTGTCCGAGTCAACCTGACTCCAATGGCGGAAATTCTATTCCTTGGGGGGGGGGAGGAAATTCACAAAGGTTACTTTGGAAAAGGGTGAAAGGAAGTCCCTCCAGCACGAGCCCTGACAACACTTCCCGACCCTGCACCTGAGAGGATGGACGGCTGCGGGGGCCGCTCGGACACGGCCACCCCGTGGCCACCCCGTGGGGGACGCGCGATCCCGAAGGACCTCGGATGACCTCTGGGAAGAGGGCTTTCCATCGACCCCGGCCGAACTCGTACTTTCCCCATCCCTCCCACCACCGGTCCATCCCCCATCACCCAGTCTCACCAAAGCGGGGTTGAGACCTACGACCACCAAGGAGGACAGTGTCTGGCCAGCGGAGCCAGAAAAAAAGAGGCGGTGGGGCCCTGACGTCACCTCCGCTTCCGGTCTCGGCCATCAGCCACGTTGGATTTCTTCGGACAGAAAGATTTTGGGTCTGGGAACAAGTGGACACTAGGATGGGTTCATCCAGGGGACTAGAGACAGAATGAGGTCCACAGGCCAAGGTTGAGGTCAGAACCAGGCCGGGGAGCCTGGCTCCGGTCGGGCTGGGGGCGGGGCCCGGAGTGGGGGCGTGGTCCGGGGCGGGGGCGTGGCCAGGCCCTAGGCTCCTTGTGGGTGGAGAAACCGGTGGGGCGAGAATGGGGTGGGGAGTCCGCCCATCAGGGATGCTGACAAAAGCTTTTCTACCTATCCCTCCCCACGTTTCCCGGTGCCCTCCCCATAATTTGCCATATTGCCAAATCTGCCACTCTCCGAAATGATGTCTCCGTTCCTTTTTAATCATTTCCAAGCTTTAGGGAACTTTATTTCAACTGATTTCTTCTTAGATATGTGGACACCGTGCTACAACCCTGAAAGATGGATTCTGCTGTTTTTCAATATAAAGATTTTTGTGTGTGCGCACCCTGACTTTTTTGTTTGTTTTTCTTCAAATGTGTAGTTTTCTTTTTTATTTCTGGGACCTTACTAAAGGAACTGTAGCCTCTCCCTGCTGTGTTGCAAAATATCAATCAGTGCAGCAGCGATTCTGAACTTTCTTCTCTCCCGGAATCAGCTCAGCTGTCGTTTTCATTGGGTGGCTGTTGTGGAGTTAATAAGGTTATGTTGAACACTGATTTACTGACACATTTTGTCAAGGATTTCTCATGTCCATTATCAAGTTGGACTTATAAATGTGTTGGATTGGTAACTATTTTGCTACGGTCGCTTTTTCACCTTTGCAGTGCAAAATAGTTCATTATTTTTAATGTAGCCCAGGAAGGGTTTTTTTGTTTTTGTTTTTGTTTTTTGTTTGTTTTTGCAGTAGTAGGAGTTGAACTCAGGGCTTCACATTTGCTAGGCAGGTGCTCTACCACTTGAACCACACCTCTAACCCTAAAAAGTCTTAAACGTTAAATTATGTATGGCTTTCCTAATTTTTTTCTGAAATGCATTAGTTGCTTGAGGATGGGGTAGACTGGGTCTCAATATGTAGTCCCCACTGACCTCCAGCTCACCAGCCTCCTGCCTCAGCCTCCTGCCTCAGCCTCCAGATTGCTCAAATTACAGATGAGTCCCACCACTCCAGGCACTCTGACATATGTTACTTTTAAAAACATTTAAATATATAGTCAGCACCAGTGGCTCACGCCTGTAATCCCAGTTATTTGGGAGGTTGAGACTGGAGGATAGTTCTCTAGACGCCATCTCCAAAATAACCAAAGCAAAATGGACTGGAGGTGTGGCTCAAGCGATAGAGCCCCTGCTTTGCAAGTGCAAAGCCCTGAGTTCAAACCCCAATCCCACACATACAAAAAAAAATCACTTCAGAAAATTCACGTATAAATTTTTGTTGAATGCAAGTTTTTATTATTCTTGAGTACATACCTCAGAGTGGAATTGATGGGTCATATAGTAACTGTATATTTAAGAATTTGAAACTGGGTGCTGGTGTCTCACACTTGTAATGCTAGCTACTTGGGAGGCAGAGATCAGGAGGATCACAGTCTGAAGCCAGTGTAGGCAAAAATAGTCTGAGAGACCCTATCTTGAACATAACCAACACAAAACAACTCAAGTGGTAGAATACCTGCTCTGCAAGTGTGAGGCCCTTGTTCAAACCCCAGTACCACAAAAAAAAAAAAAAAAGAGTTTGGCCTGGCACAGAGACTCAAGGCTGTAATCCTAGCACTTGGGAGGCAGAGATTGGGAAGACCAGTGGTTAGAAGCCAGCCTGGGAAAAGTTCTTGAAACTGTATCTCAACCAATGACTGGGTGTGGTGGTGCACAACTCATCCCAACTATGCAGGAAAGCACAGATAGGAGGATGGACGTCCAGGCCAGCCTGGGCATAAATAGAGATCCTATCTCAAAAATAGCCAATGCAAAAAGGGCTGAGGGTGTGACTCAATTGGTAGAGCACCAGTCTAGCAAGCCTAAGACCCTGAGTACAAACCCCAGTACTGCCAAAAAAAAAAAATTTTTTTTAATTGGTATGTGCCTGTGATCCCAGCATCGGGGAGACTGAGGCAGGGGGATTGCAAATTTGAGGTCAGCATGGGTTATATAGCAAGACCCTGTCTTAGAAAAATAAAACAAAAGATTTCAAAGAACTACTGAAGTGTTTTCCAAAGTGGCTGCATCATTTTGCATTCTCACCAAAATCTATGAGGGTTCTAGTTTCTCCATACCCTTGCTGATATTCTGCCTTTTTCTTTTTACCCATCCTAGTACAGAGTGTGAAGTGATACATCATTGTGTTTCCCTAATGATCAGTGGCATTGATCATCTTTTCCTGTGGTTGTTACCAATCTGGGTCTTTTGGCAGAGAGTCTATGCAAATCCTTGATCCATTTAAAATTGTTTTTTTTTTTTTTTTTTTGGTGGAACTGGGGTTTGAATTCAGGGATTTGAGCTTGCATAGCAGGCCGAAGTGTATGGAGGGTCAGAAGCTCAGGGTCCATGAGATCCTCATCTCTTTCTCTCTCTCTCTCATCTTTTTTCTCTTTTGACAGGACTGGGGTTTGACCTCAGGGCTTCAGGCTTGCAAAGCAGGTGCTCTACCACTTGAGCCACACCTCCAGCACATTTTGCTTTGGTTATTTAGGAGATGGGGGTCTCATGAACAATTTGCCCAGGTTGGCCTCAAACTTTGATCCTCCCAATCTCAGCTTCCCAAGTAAATAGGATTACAGGCATGAGCCTCCAGCACCCAGTTGTGAAAGCCTCTTTTTCTAGGAGGTCCTGGTTGGTGGTGCTCATTAGTGGTGTAAGTGCTGTGTATGTAGTGTGAGGCTAAGATGGGCAGATTCTTTCTTTGGTTGGGTTTTTTTGCAGAAGACTTTGAGCAACTAATGGCCACTATATTTGTTCCACAGACTCCAGAAGACATGAAAAATATGGCTAAATCCTTCCCATGAAGCCAGTAACAGGAGTGAATGTTGGTTTTAATTTATAAAAAAAAGTTTGTAAGGGCTGGGGTACAGCTCAGTGCTGGAGCACTTGCCTAGCATGTGTGAGGCCTTGGGTTCCATCTGCAGCATCATAAAAAAGTTAATAAATAAAATTTATGAATGAGGAATGTGATGCCACCAGAATCAAGAGTATACTGGGACACATTGGACTTTTACGTCCTTAATGAGTGTTTTGATTGACTCTCCTTGGAGGAGAATATTAATGTAATATGAATTCTTTTAGTATGTAAATTTAGTTGGTAAGTTTTAGATAGCTAATGGGATCAAGTTATGGAAAATTTTTTACCTTTGTTACATATTATATATACACATATATATCTTTCTATTATAACATAAAATATACCTAATTAATTACATTCATGGTTTTAAACCATGCAGTAATGTAGGGATAGAATTCTATTTGGTAGACTCGGTGCTTGCTCAGTACTTACAGTTTTTAATCTTTGTGTGTGTGTGCAGTACTGGGGTTAGAACTCAAGACCTGAAGCATGCTAGACAGGCATTTTGCCACTTGAGCCATGCTCCCAGCCCTTTTCTTTGTATTTTGTTTTTGTTTTGTTTTTGCCAGTACTGGGGTCTGAACTCAGGGGCCTTGCACTTGCTAGGCAAGCGCTCTACCACTAGAGCCACTCTACCAGCCCTATTTTTTGTTTTTGAAAAAGGGTCTTGCTACATAGTGGCCTGGAACTTGTGACCCTCCTGCCTCTGCCTCCCAAGTAGCTAGGATTATAAGTATGCACTACCATGCCCACCTTAGTATTTAAGGTTTAATTTTTTTTTTCCTCTTGGATTTTTCAGCTGCCTAAAGCAGCCAGCAATCTTTTTCTTTTTCTTCTTTTTCCTCATCTTAAGCTTTGGGTTGCCTGAAGCCACAGTTCTAAATTTCTTTTTCTTTTCTTTTTCTTTTGCAGTACTGGGATTTGAGCTAAGAGCCCCATCCTTGCCCTTTTTTGTGTTGAATATTTTTCAAGATAGGTTCACTTGGCTTGGGGCCAAGTGGCTCAGGTGGTAGCACCTGCCTGGACAGAGCCATCAAAAAAAGAAAAAGAGAGATAGAAAAAGAATGGCTTAGATGTCTGGACTGCCATAAACGGTTTTGCCCCTCTCTCTTTGGAAGTCTATTTGACAAACTCCTTAGGGACCCAAGTGCTACTGTACAGTCCATAGCCTCCATCTGTGTGTCCCCATTTATAGGCAGCCACTCCCCCTCTAGGGTTTCCCACCCAAGCTCTTTATGGTCAGGTAATTCAAGCAAAAAGGCAGCCAAATAGGAACCAGAAGCAGTATGTCTGTGACAGGCCATGGCCTGCTATTGGGGTAACCCTGTAGTTTTTCAGCACCCCACCCCAGCACAGCAGGCAATACAGGGGAGTTTCCAGCACCTGTTTGGCAGTTTTGCCAAACCCAGAGTGTCTAAGCCCAGTCCCAGTAGCCTCAGCCTCTTGTCTCAGAACTTCATGACACAAATCTGGACTTTAAACAGCTTAGCCTAATCAGTAGTTCTTCGGAGACTGACAGTAAGCACAGTTGCCCCTCTTTGTTGGACTGGGTCTGGGTTTGTGCTTCTGTAAGTACAGCTTGTGATACTTGAAAGAGGAAATCTGGTAATTTTTTTTTTTTGAGATGAGGTCTCGCGAACTATTTGTCCGGGTTGGGTTCGAGCCGCGATCCTCCTGATGTCTGCCTCCTGAGTAGCTAGGATTACAGACGTGAGCCACCGGTCCCAGGTTCCCTTGCTGTTTTCATTTTCTTTCTTTCTTTTTTTTTTTTCTTTCGGTGTTGCATGAGCTTGCTCGGGAAGCCTAATGAATCATGTGCCCGTAAACTGGGATGTTGCCAATGATACAAACAAGTCC